GATAATTGACAGAAGAACTGAATATGCTCCTAAACAATGGATGTTGTCGATCCATCTCTCACTCTGTCCCTTTCCAGGGAAAGGCTCCATCCCCTCCCTGGGCTCTCCTCAGTCCCTGGACGGGTGCTACTTCTCCCCCACCTTGGTGACAGACTGGTTCTGGGGGGTCGTGAGCGAGGCTGTGGAAGAGCTGAGACGCAGCCCCCAGAGAGGCATCCCAACCCCTGAACGGCTGGAGAGGAACGGACCCCTGACCACCATCATCCTTCAGGTACAGACCAGCTGCTTCTCTGCTGCTGTAAACGCACCGAGTGAGGCATGAAACGGTGTCCTTCTTGCAGGCGGGGTCCAGCCGGGTTCTGTATGACCTGCTGCCTGTGGTGTCGTTTCGGGGATGGCCCGCCGTGGCCCAGGGCTGGCTGACAGCCAACCACTTCTGGGACGGTAAAATCACAGAGGAGGAGGCCATATCTGGCTTCTATCTGCTGCCCTGCTGCTCCCCGCTGGGCGGTCGGCCTGACAGGGAGTGGAGGCTGGCCTTCTCTCGCAGTGAGGTGAGTTATTTATTCACTGCTCTCTCTTGTTGTCCCTCATTCTCGTATATTAACACTAATCCTGCATGATTCTTGCGGGCAGGTTCAGTTGAAGAAGTGCATCCCCTTCCCCATGGCCCAGGCTTTCCAAGCAGCCAAGGCGGTTCTGTCCCGCATCCTGGCCCGTCCCCGAACAGGCCTCAGCCTCTACCACCTGCGCACCCTTCTGTTTTGGGCTTGTGACAGACTCCCCGCCGCCTACCTGTCCTGTCCTGAAGCGGACACTCCCGGCCGCCTCCTCTTGGGTCTCCTGGACGACCTGGCTCACTGCATCCTGGGGAAAAACTGCCCAAACTACTTCCTGCCTCAGTGCAACATGCTGGAGCACCTGAGTGACAGCCAGGCGCTGCTCGTTGCCAGGAAGCTGGCTCACGTGCGCTCAGATCCCAGCGAGCACCTGCGGGCGGCTTTGGACCAGGCCCGGCAGGCGGGGCAGCTAAAGAAAGAGCTGACGGCCAGCACCAACGGCCACGGGTCACCCGGGCACCACCCTGCCAACGGCATCATCTCACCCTCCGAGGACAAGCTAGCTCAGCGGCTGCAGCAGCTTGTGACGGAGAACCCAGGGAAATCCATATCGGTCTTCCTGAACCCCGACGACGTGTCCAGGCCGCACTTCCGCATCGACGACAAGTTCTACTGAGTCGTCAAGGAAACGCCTGTGAGTTTAAGTCCAAGGGAGGATGACCCCGCTGCTTGACTAAGTCTTAAAACCAAAATAAAATAGACACACACACTTCCTTTGGGGAAAAACTGCCGTCCAGTTATCTGGATGTCACAGAGTTGTCGCCACGGCGATAAATGTCTCCTAATGAGCTGGCCTTAAGGAGACCAAACAGCTGTAGCTTGGACATGAAGCGCCTGCTTTAAAACAAGAACCAGAGACTGTGTGTACATGTTTGCCTTAGGGAGTCGGACTGTGACGTGCCCCTCTACAGAAATCATCCAATTCATCACAGCGAGCGATTGACGAGTCAGAAATGGAGGAAAACGAGCTGATGAAACTGATTGTAATGTTGTGAGAAGAGCTGTGAGAGTCTATGAAACTCCTTTTCATTTACACTCAGTTTGTGCGACTGTTTAACTTTTCTCAGGTATGCACAACATTTTAGAAGTAGTGTTTTTTTTCATTCTGTTCAAAGCCCAAAATAACATGAAACTACTGAAATTACCCTGATCGTACCAAAGAACAGTGAATTGATTGTTTGACAAAAATTTTCTCCTCTGAACATTTCTTTGATGAGGCTACGGCGCAGGAATCGAGCAGCAGAATCGATGCCCCTCAGAGGAATTGAGAAAACAAATCAAATTGATTGAAACACATATTTTCTGAACTGGAGGAACGTTTTAAGCTGGTTAGCTTTCCATCGTTTTTAGGGACCTTTCTCTGATAATGAAACCGCTCGTCAGAGAATCCATAAGCTATCTAAATCTTTTAAGTTCTGGTTTTCTTGTCAACAAAAATCTAAATCCTTGCGTTTTTCTCTACCGTTTGAATGTGTTTGAAGGGTTATGGTTAAATTGAGGAGGAAAGAAGAAGTTGAGCATATTTTAGATTTTTAAACCAAATTCTCTTATTAAAATCCTGAACATGGGGGGAAAAGGCCATTTCCTCTAAAGGTATATTAGCCCATAGATGTAGGGCTGTGTTCTACATCTGTCCAGGCTTTTTACTAGAGATACACATCCAGGTTATATCCAAGAATGTAGCATCCAAACTGGTAAAATTCAACATGAAGCTAATTCATTCAAGTAGAAACGATCATTTAATCACATTTTTATGCAGTCCTACGGTCCGTGAAACAGTCATATACAGTTTATCATGTAGTGCCAGTTGATAGTTGTTAATAGAGAGTAATTTACTAAAAGCGTATTAATCTTTTAATCAGATCCACTCAGAAAGAGCCTCATGATGAAGGCCTTTAATGTCCATGTTTTACTACCATTGCCCTTTGTTCACCAAATGATAAAAGCGTAGAATATTTTTTGCACCAAATGTATTAGAAATATGAACCATCATTACCGAATGATTCAGAACAAAAAATAAATCACAGTAGTGATGTGAACATTAATTAACCTCCTTTAGTCTGATCCAGGCTACTTTCAGCACTGGGTTCTACACCCTTTTTTTTAGTCTTAACCGTTTGATTAAAATAGAAGTATATTAAATAATACTGGAATGTTCTACCTTTTTAATAACAGTCTGCACATATATTCCTGAATCCACATGTTTTAGAAAATTGAAAGCAAGCAAGCTTTTACTAATTATCTCCTCTGACTTTTAGGATTTAAAATCTATTTCAAAGCCTTTTTTATAAAACTCCTGTTCCCCGTTTTAATGAGTTCTAAGTAAATTGTTGAATCTGACATGAGAGAATCTTTTAGCAACTTGAGACTGATGAATATCAGACCCGAAATATTTCCCATATCAATTGATTTGGTGCCTTGTCACCACCTTAGCGGTAGCATCTAATTACTAGCAGTGCTCTTAAATCAAGTCCTCTTAGGGCCAGTACCCCGTGGCTTCATGGGGCTTCTTTATCCATTTCTTCATTTTACTTGGGTAGGAAGGCGGCCATTGGAGATTGGAGATTGAAACCACTTAGGTAGACAGAGGCATCCACCAGCTGTTTTATTAGACAACTCTTTGTTTTTAATATACATCTGCCATCTGTCATTACCTTTTATTGCAGCAGATGGCAGGTTGTGGACAGTGAAGGTATGGCTGGAATATTGATGTTTCTTCAATTATATAAAGCTTGGTGAGCAATGAGCTCCATCCACCACAAGGTTTTAAAATGAGTGACTTTAATGATATTATTTTTTACTCCAGAATCTTTTTCCACATTACGTCAGCAAGGAATATCTACATCTATTGTTTTTTTTTTTTTGTTTTTTTTAAATCTCAGCATTGGCCTTAGAAAACTTGATCAGGGGAAAAATAAAAGTTCACAGATCTAAATAAGAAATAAAATCAACGTGTCCGTTAAAAGGTAAAGGGTTGTCATGTCATGTCTACGTCCCACTAAAACAGGATATAATAGACTTTAAACTTAATACGCCCATAGTTTAATCTTTCAGTTACATTTGTTTTTCCAGAGGTGTTAGGATAGCTAACAATTAAGCGATCTTGCGGGTATTTCCCAATAATTTCAATATAAAATCCAATATAAATTACTTTAGATTGATAGGCATAGCCAATGGAAAATAAAAAATTTTTTTATAGGAGTACTTTGGGGCTTTATTTGCACATTTTCCAGGAGTGTAAACACATGTAGAGGGTTCTGGGTAAAGAAATAACATTAATATATCTGGTCAATCATTGTTGAAGATTAACATATTATTTCTAGTTATTGCTTAGATTTAAAGATAAATTTGTAGGAAAAAAGAAAATTCACATGAAATAAAATACGTATTTATTTTTCTGACACAAACGTTAGCCTTCATTAAACTCAAACCCCTGAAGTTTATATTACTCTACCAGGCTAAACCGTGATGCTTTCCACACGTCCGGTTTAGCTTTATATGCTGATGATAGGCTGATGTGATCATGGATTCCTGTGGTATTTTATCATCCAACCACAGCTTTTGTCTTTTTCTACTTTTAAAATGAATGTTCTTGGACTATGAACTTGATTAGAGTCGGTTGTTTTTAAAAGATATGCTAATATTTCACTCTTAAGGGCAAGCTTAGATTTTAGAACGAGCTAATTCAGGAGCAAATGGTCACGATTTGACAAAAATTAAGGAGCTGGCTCAAAAGTTTTAGACCGCTTTGCATTTCTTGATATTTTTACCTCTAGGTAACAAAACATTATATTATTATTATTATTATTATCAAATTGACTTTATAGTTTCTTTAGACTTTTGCTGCTTTTTTTAGATCATGGCTGAATCAAGTTGTCCACAAAGTGCCCAGTTTTTCCCTCATATTATGATTTTTAAAACACATCTGTTCACTTATTGTTGGACAAACTTTGAGGTATGCTTTTTATCGACTTCATATCGTGAGACTTGAGTGATTCAGATAATTGTCCCGTGTCTCCTCTGCTTGGTTGGTGCCTCTTAATGAGCGTCATGTATCTTGTAAATGAGCGGATGTGTTTCCAGATGCTGTGCGGTGAATTATTTCCCCCTCACTGCGTCCGTGGCTGGATAGAGGGAATCAGAGTTTCTGGAAAAAACGGACCTCTAAAAAAAAAAAAAAAATTCATCTTTTTTTGTATTTCATTTATAAAAGAAAACAAGGCTTTTCACTGAACACACCTTTAATGCTGCTGCTGCGTATTGAAATGATCTAATTTATACATATTTTTTCCCAGTCAGTAATTGTTGGAGTTGACAAAACAAATGCCGTTCAATCAATGTAAATCAGTTTTCAACACTGTCTCCAAACTAATTTATGGATAAACACGGAGCGCTACAGCTCTGCATCCAGTAATGGAGCACTGCCAGGGTACCACTGTTGAAATATCAGCCTGACGGTGGTGGGTGATTCAATTTTAACGGAGCGTCTCTCTTACTGACAGTTGTTTAAAGTCTTTCTAACATCTGCAAACAAAGTTGTGCTTACTACTGAACCGTCACTTTCTTGTTATATATTGTCTGTGGACTGAAGCGGTTGGTAACCAAAGTGTGTTGTCTATGCGGTACAGGATATCAGTGTTTTCAGCACTTTTTTTTTACCCCGGAAAAGAAAAAAAAACACTGGAAGAATTAAAATGTACATTATTTAGGAAATGACTTACGAGCTGATTCAGTGTAGATCTTGTAAAAGGTCTTGTTCAGTTAAAGACAACAGAAACAAAATAGTTTTTGTTGGTTTTGCTGGATATGTACACTTAAACTTTTTGTAGAGTGTATAAAATCTTGTAAATGAAGATATGCAATCATTGGGGCAGCCTGTCTTTTCCAGACCTGCTGGAATCAAGTGTGGATTTCCTACTGTAAATAATCTTTAAAAGAGAGGAGGGCAGATCCAGTATCATCATTTCAAACTCAGTTTGAAACTGAACCTTTTGATCAATCTGCTGTGTATCAGTAGCAGAATAAATTACCTGAATGTATCGGTCTCTTCTCCCTACTCTATTTTTTTTTTTTTTTTATCTCTGCTGTAAACCCAACTTTAAATCTGTTTCCACCTGGGTTCTTCCTCATGTTTTTTTGTAGAAATTGCTGACTAATTTTTGCTATATTTGTTACTTCTCTTTATTTCCTGGGGATTTGTATTGATTGATTGATGTTTGAGCTTTAGCATGAAATAAATCCATATATTTCAAAAAGCCATCATTTGGAGAGTGCTGGTTGAAAATGACTGCAGTTATGTGAATGGACCAACAGAGGGCGCCACAGTACAGCATTTTGTATACACACTGCTGCTTGGGAACCATGTAGGCCTACTGTATTGACACACAATTTAATGTTAAATATCAGCGCATCACAGAAGCGTTTCATTCTAAGCCTAAATGTCCAAATTCCTGACTAAATCAAACCTGGGCAGATACTTTAAATGTTATTCATTAGAAAAACTTATGGGCAGAGATAGGTAGAAATTAGTTACATTTACTTGAGTAACCTTTTAAAAAAAAGGGGGGAAAAAGGTATTTTTCTGTAGTTTTACAACATGTTAGTTTTTAACTTGAGTGAAAATATAATAAAGTATCATTATTCTTTCTCCAGTAAAATTACTGGCTGCTTTTGAGACACACTTTTCTTTTTTCGTACTGAAGGCTTATTGATTAAATGTCTGTGGAAATTCTCAGTCATCCGGATCATAGAAAACAGACTTTTACTGAGTTACAAGTCTAAATGTCTTCAGAAAAATTAAGCTAAAGTCTAGTATCCTTAGTAAACAAATCAGGTACTCAGTATTTCAGAAGCCCTTTTACAAAATATTTTACTCTTGATCAATTTATCTACTTTTTACTTGAGTAAAAATATGAAGTAGTGCTGCTCTCCACCGACCTCTGTTTATAGGTCAAACAAATATATAAAGCTTTTGCTTAAACCTGTTTAGACGAGTTAGCAGCCTTAAATTAATGCTAGGCTGAAGCACATTATCAACCCTTTAAAGCCTGATCCAAGAATAAAACAAAACTGCATCCAGTAATGGAGCACTGCCAGGGTACCGCTGTTGAAATATCAGCCTGGTTTTTTTTTTGTTTGAATTCCTTATTTGCCCTTTTAACAAAATATGTAAAAAGAAAAAGCAGAAATACATTTTTGATCTTAATAATTTATTAATATGCGGTAAGTCAAGATTATTTTTTGT